ACTGGTAATAAAGAGTTTTTTTTGTGTTGAAATTTGATTCATCATGAAAAAATGAAGTCAGCATGAATATCTGTATTATGAAATGATATGCTGACGAATATACACAAATTTAGATTCTTTACAATGGTGGTTACAAGTTTAATGACTCATTCAGGCGGAATAGACTTTTGTTTTCGAAGACGGCTACTAAGGAGGGACAGAGACATTGAGAAAAAGAAGTTGTCCAGCAGCTATACATAAACCAGTTGTGTTGCAATGAAAATGGAACCAAGATGATAACAACAATAGGCAGTAAATTCTTTTGGACAGAACGGAATTAGCCATGAGAGAGAGCTATGAGCATTTAAATGTTTCTGTCATTTCCACCAAAACTGGATAGCACGACTTCATATAAAAAGAGGTTGAACAAAATCAAAAACCATCCGACGTCCTTTAGAGGCACGTGATGCAAAGGGCAAATCAACTTGAAAAAATACAACGAAAAATTCAGTGGTATAAAAAGTAAACAAGATAGCAACAACAAAACGCTGCTGGTTTCCACAAAATGAACTATCATCCAAGAAATTCCAAAGGAATGCCGATGTAAACGAAGAGTACCCTTAATATCAGCTGGGCACGTTTACCCATCAATCAACCTAGACTAGAGTGCCAGGCTCAAGGTCGAAAAGAACGATCAAAGGGCAAACCACAAGACTGGGTGGTACGATCAGGTGGTCAGACGATGGAGAGTGGCAAATATAACTTTTTACTACAACAAATAAGAGATAATGTCATCTGTAATGTTTGGAATTACCATAAATACCAAGGGCACCATAGCGTCAGTGCTGGTATGAATGACGGGCGGCTGGGTCGCCGACCTAGGTTGACCTCTTCGGCCTAGGTGAGGGCACTGATGAAATAAACATAGCTATCACAAAGGTGACCTGTACTCTCTCCATGCCATCGAGTAGTAGTTGTCAGTAGGAGTTACCCTCTGCACTTTAATATTGAAATCATTCCCATTTACTAACTCCTATTTTATTTTGTTCTTATGGGAAAAGAAAANNNNTCACCCATCATCTGCGAGTGATAACGGTAAGTATTACACATCGACCGACCGCAATATTCTTTTTACATTTTGAAGAAAAACAGAGTAGTGAGCCTTTGAGAAAGGTTTAAGCATAGTGAGGTACTTCAACCGATCCACCTGAACGTCTTCCATAAATGATCAGAGTGGCGTAGGAGTTGAGCAGAGGTACTAGAGCTGTGTAGTCCAGCAAAAAAAGATTCCTGCCCTGAGCTAGAATACGGTAGGTTTGGAGCAGATAGGCCTCAAGTTTTCGAGGA